GTAGTCAGCACTCGTTGGCCGCCCCATCTGTGATGATGAAGTCATTGTTGACCTAGAAGCATTGTCGGGTCGTTGGTCAGTGATGATACATTTTAGTCGGACAATGCTATTTGGACCTGTAGTAGTGATTGCATCAGATCTACAAATACACGCTACAAGAAGAAAACACTTTTGTGACACTTCTTCATATTATAGTAGGAACACTTTCATGTCAAGGAAACTTGGGAAAACATGTATTGTCATGGATGTATTGACGGATTACTTCTATGACTAAATATTATGAGAAATGTCAAAAAATCATCTTGGACTGACCTACCGCACACTTGGAATGACATTCTTTGGGTCTTCTGTGATAAGGATATTCATGGTAGAATGGAGGGCGGGAACTTTTCGACGATTGCTCGGGTGAGTTGCACCTCACTCGATATACACTCGATGGTATCGATCTGGTCATGCTCGGATGTCAGCCTCTCATACAAACGCCGGATGCGAGGTAGTATGCATCTAATATCTTTTCAATATAATGTTCATGCATTTAGAAAACAATTTAAAAGCGAGTGGGAGTATGAGGGACGGTGTATGAACCAAGTGCAGGGTGTAGCTCGCGGAGCATGGCCCTCATATCCAACCTGACGAGGTTGGTTTTAAAAGTTTGAAACATTCCTTAGCGCTGGTGTGGTTCAACGATAGGTGTGCCGTGCAGTGGCACTGCAACACTTTCAGTAAGGACGGGAAGGAGGATAAGTAGCATTGCGACAACACAAAATAGGACACTATATCTGAATAGAGGACGTGGAACCACAGAGGGGTCTCAAGACGTGCTTATTGGGATAGGAGCATGCAATTTTGTTCTCCTGTTACAATGCACATATATGTTTCCCACTAGTATAGTATTTTTTGAATATCAATGTAGACACAAGCGCTCATATAATTAGATGTCATATATTTTCCTTTGCTCAGACTCTTTTTTTTTGTTACAAAAAATAATGCCTATCATGCTTCTTTTATAAGCAAGTGCCTTCAAATGGATGACATGAAAACTTGTTTTCTGAAATACCTTCTAAAGGATACAAATTTGACATGAAAACTTAATTAAGATGTAAGTTTTGGCAAAATTAAAAGGTAAATGTCTATATTGGCCGACCGACTTGGCTCTTCATCAGCCGCCCCACTTGCTCGCTTTTAGCAGGCTTCGTACGTAAGCCACATACGCCAATATGGCCCACCAACCGCTTATCCCTTTTTTCTTTATCCTCTTATAGGCGGAGATTATCATGCTCTCAGCCATTCATCTTCTCCCGCATCTCTCTCATACTTGTCTCACACCTCTCACCTAGAAGTTCATCGGAGGTGGTAGCCATCACTCCATGCGCACTGTCATGTGTCGCACACATGTATTCCCTTGTCATGATGGGGTGGGGTGGGGGCGAGGTCATCGACATGGGGGACCACAAGGACCTCGTGTTGCACCCCTAGCCAGCCACCGAGACAACGAGCTATGACCACCCACGAGGGAGCTGCAACCGTCGGTGCGTTGCAACCCACAACGAGAAGAGCTATGATGCGTGTGCGGCATCCGAGGCCGCTGGGACGCACGACCATTTTTGCTGGGCTTCTCTTTCAGAAGCACATTTAGTATCAGAAGGGAAAATTTGTGTAGGAAGGAAACATATTTTGAGATAAAAAAAGCAACATTCAGTAGAGGTCGAATTTAGTGGCTTCAGAAATTTATGCGATTTGCCTAAAAGTACAATTGTGTGTTTTATACACATCATTTTAGGCTGTGCTCAAGAACAATACAAACTATGACTGATTTTTGTACCACCGAATTTCCCTAAAGCCAAATTGGCAATGAATTTTCTTTCTGTCTTGCACATCCTATTTTATATAGTAGAAATTCATCAGTCGGATGCAGAGGCGTCCAGGTTTTTAACTGAAGAAATCCATTTGTTCTTTCTGTGGACTGAGAAACTGAAGACGTTCCATTTGTTCTTCAGTCAAAAATGAATGAGCGCGTGAGATTGCCGCAGCCGAGCTCGAGTTGGATCCCAATTCCAGTTCAGCCGACGACAGTTCCAATCCGAGTTCGGCAAGAATTAGGAGCTCTCCCCTGAATAAATGGGCAGCGGCGGTGGGAGCAAAAGCTCCACTTCGATCTGCTCGCCCACCTTCCCGATCTCCAGACCTAGACACGCCGTCGATGGCGGCGAAGGTGCTCCAGCTCCGTAGCTCCGAAGGCAAGGTGCTCGTCGCTCCGGCGTGGGACTATCGCCCGGCCGCCGCCCAAGCCCGCCCGCTGGAGATGCGGGTGCCCTCGCGCGCCCTCGAGAGGGTGCTCCAGTACTGGACCAAGCACAGCCTTGCCAAGGCCACCGGTGAGTCCCGGGAGTCCCTTGCCTGCTGGGACGCCGACTTCCAGCGCCGTCTTGGGGAAGACGGCCTCGCCAAGGAGGCCGCCGCAGCCGTCCAAGAACTCCGCCGCCACGGCGTCCACCATGGAGGGCGTCCCCGTCGCCACGCCGCCACGGTCGCAACTGCTGTCGCTGCTCCAGCCACCGCCACCCGTGCTGATCCCGTTCGTGCCTGGTGCCAAATCGTTCACCACCTCAAGGGTGTCGACCACGGAGAACCTAGCCCGGCGCCGACGGCGTCCATCGCTTTCCATGCCTCCGATATTGCCGTCGCCACGCGCCCTCGGCCTGCCACCACCTTGCCGGCCGCTGCTGGTACTGAACCTGTTGGTGTCCGGTGGGGTGGCCACGCCATGTTGCCTTGTGGGCAACTGGTGGGTACCTATGGTACTTCTTTGCTCCGCTATTTTTTATATATTCTGTAAAAATTCTCCGTGAAATTTCAGGTCAATTTGAAGTTATGCAGAATAGGTATCTCTGATGTAGCTTTTCCAGGTCCAGAATTCCAGATGCCGGCAATCTTCCTCTCCATGTAAATTTTGCAAATTAAGATAGGAAAGGCATTAGAATTGCATCACAAAGTGTTATAATGATAAAAACATTATAAATATTAGTGGGAAAACATGATGCAAGATGGACGTATCAACTCCCCCAAGATTAGACCTCGCTTGTCCTCAAGCAAAAGCTGAAACTGATAATCATGACCACATGTTTAGAAAGAGAGAGAGGTGTCGATAAAGACCAAATACAGATATAGTAGCATCATGATCATTGTCCTAGCAGCAATATATCATCATAAAACTTCTCATGATCAAGTAACAATTCATCACAATTACGAAGTATAAGGCATAAACTTTCTTGAAAACTATCAAACTATATTCTTAGTCAAGGAAACAATTACAGTTCATCATATTCTCAGGAAGGGTCTCATGTAAGAGCTTTTGTTTAGTAAGTCCACATACTAAACTATCATTTAGTCTTCTATGATTGCTGACACTCATGACATATATATGGAGCAAAAGTTTAAGTTAGACACAAAGAATGAAAGGGGCTTATAGTTTCACCTCCCAACTTATTTACCTAAAGGGTAATGTCAACAATAATAACTCATGATTATTCATATCCAACTGGATATATGTGCCTAGATCTTTTCCACCACATAATTCTTGCAAAGAGAAAAAAAAGGAAAAAAGGAATAGAGAGAAGAACACTATTGACTCCTGCACTGAAATAAATACAGAAAAGTAAAAGATAGACCCTTCGCAAAGGGAACCAGAGGTTGTCATGCGCTTCTTATTTTTGGATATGCAAGCTCTTAATGTAAATGAACGTCACTTTATGTTGTCCCTTATGATAGCAACATTTATTATGCAGTTTGTTGCTTTTATTTCTTTACCATCACAAGACTTTATAAAGCTTATTTTCCCTTACAATAAAAGATCATGCATATTTAGGAGAAATTTTATTGCCTTTTGCACTGATGACAACTTACTTGAAGGATCTTATTCAATCCATAGGTAGATATAGTGGACTCTCATGACATGAAACTGGATTTAAGGGTTTTGGATGCACAAGTAGTATCTCTACTTGGTGCGGATTTTTGGCTAGCAAAAGATATTGAGCAAGCACCACATGTTGGAGTATTCATGACAATATAACTTATGTGTGAATATAAGCAAACATAACTCATTATGTTGTCTTCCTTGTCCAACGTCAACTAATTGACATAAGATATTTAATGGGGGGCTCACAATCATAAAAGAGTTCCAAGATAGTATATTTATATGTGAATCTTCTCTTCCCTTATTAATCTTTCATGAATTGCATCATTGACCAATACTATGTTTGTTAACTTCCAAAAAAAATTATCAGTTATACTTTTATTTATGTAAAGACATTACTTTCCATGGGATTAGCATATGATCTTTTTATTATTTTCATTGCTAAGATTGGAACATAAAAATAAAGAAGCAAAACTCAAACTACTCTTTATTATATAACTCCCAACTCGATTACATAGATAGATAGATCACCAAACTAGCACTCGAAAATAGATCATACTAAACTTTTATTCTTCTAAATCATGAAATAACTAAGGATCGAACTAAGATAGGTAAAGATAATAACAATGATGGTGATACGATAGGGGGGCACCTCCCCCAAGCTTGGCACAATCCTAGGATGGTGCACATACCCGTGTACTCAAGTTTCTTTCTTTGGTGATGATGGTGATGATGAAGTAGTGGGCTTGCCCTTCAGCTTCAATAAGTATTCTAGATTTCTATTAATGCTCCGAACGGCACGATTATGATCCTCCAACAAAATAACTTAATGAGTGAAGGAAGTATTATGAGCACAAATTGTTCCAAAAATCCTTAAAGTATCAATTTTAGACGGGGAAAGATGATCATAAAGGGGTTACAGTATATCTCCCTTTTTTGCAGTCTCTCCTATAGGCATGGCTTGATCTCCCTCTTGAGTCTGACTTCCCGCGGCCTCCTCGGCTTTATCCTCCTTGCCCATGTCTTCCTCTCCTAACGACCACTCATAGTAAACCTCGTTGTATGGGTGTTTTGCCGACGAAGTTTGCACGATCCGGTGCTTGGTACGAAGCCTTCGGGGAGCCATAGGAATTTGGATCCGTCAGAAAAACAACACAAAACAAGAACATATGAGATTCTTGCGATTTGGTGGTCAAAACATCCAGGAGTATATATATAGAGAAATTTTATCTTGCGAAACAAGTATTCCAGAATAAAACGGAGTCGGGAAGGCACATGAGGAGCCCACAAGGCAACCAGGCGTGCCCAAGGGGTAGGGCACACTTTGTTTCCTTGTGACCTCCTCGTGGGTCCCCTCGGTTGTTTCTTATTTTTGTAATTTTTTCTAATATTCCAAAATGAACAAAAATTATTTTTATGAAAATTTTGGAGTCGGTTTACTTACAGTATCACATACCTACACTTTTTTAGGGTTCTGGAGTGTTCCGGAAGCTCTCTCTTATGTGTTCCTCCGATGTCATAGTTTGAACAATATTAGTTTCAACATTAATAGGTGTACCTGAGATATAATGCTTAATTCTTTGTCCATTAACCTCTCTCGGATTAGTTCCCTATACATTATTGGTCTTGATAGCTCCGGAGCGATAAACTTCTTCGATGATATATGGTCCTTCCCATTTGGAGAGAAGGTTTCCTAGAAAAAAAACTAAAGCGAGAGTTGTACAATAGAACATGCTCACTGTCGGTGTCAAAACCGGCGGATCTCGGGTAGGGGGTCCCGAACTGTGCGTCTAGGCCGGATGGTAACAGGAGGCAAGGGACACGAAGTTTTACCCAGGTTCGGGCCCTCTCGATGGAGGTAAAACCCTACGTCCTGCTTGATTAATATTGATGATATGGGTAGTACAAGAGTAGATCTACCACGAGATCAGAGAGGCTAAACCCTAGAAGCTAGCCTATGGTATGATTGTTGATGTGTATGTTGTCCTATGGACTAAAACCCTCCGGTTTATATAGACACCGGAGAGGGTTAGGGTTACATAGAGTCGGTTACAATGGTAGGAGATCTGAACATCCGTATCGCCAAGCTTGCCTTCCACGCCAAGGAAAGTCCCTTCCGGACACGGGACGGAGTCTTCAATCTTGTATCTTCATAGTCCAGGAGTCCGGCTTGAAGGTGTAGTTCAGCTATCCGAACACCCCCTAATCCAGGACTCCCTCAGTAGCCCCCGAACCAGGCTTCAATGACGACGAGTCCGGCGCGCAGATTGCCTTCGGCATTGCAAGGCGGGTTCTCCTCCAAATTCCGTGTACCTGTTTGAATAAAGTCCGGTTTCTTGTAGATGTTGCGCTCCTTAGCTTCTACTCCCAATAATGGCCGTTTCCCACGTGTCAAACGAATATGAAAAGTCTGAGTGTTTTTTTTCATTCACACCCCTAGCCGCGCAAATGAGCTGCCCTATTTAAGGGGACGAGGATTTAGATCCAATCCACACCTTCTCCCCTCCACGAGTGTTTATCAGAGCGCATCCGACAAAGGTCCATTCCACCATGGCCAGCCGCCGCAACTCCTCCGCTCGCGCTTCCAGCCCTAAGCCTGGATATTGGGAGAGATGTTCCACTCTGCATAGCGAGCTAGTGACGCTCCAGACCAAGGGATTTCTCCTCCCGGCCTATATGCTCCCGGTTCGAGCCGGTCTTGTCGTCTACAACGGCAGAGAGCAAGCAGAGAATGCCCCTAATCCATCCAAAGGAGAGCGGGTGTGCCTTGTCCCTTACTTAATAAGGGGGCTCGGATTTCCCATCCACCCATTTCTCCGGGGGCTGCTGGAGTTCTACGGCCTCCAGCTACATCATCTCACGCCTGCCTCAGTATTGCATATCGCGGGCTTTGTAGCCCTTTGCGAGCTGTTCTTGGGTATTGAAGCTCATTTCGGACTGTGGAAGGAGCTGTTTTGCCTCGTGCCCCGTTCCAAGAAAGGGTCAATATATCAAGTGGGCGGAGCCGAAGTATGGCGCATCGCCGGGACCGGATATTTGTCCGGAACTCCAAAGAAGGCATCCAAAGATTGGCCCTCGGAATGGTTCTATATAGAAGACATCCCGCTGCCGAATCCTATCCGGATCGGCCTCCCAGAATTTGATAGTGCTCCCTTAAAGAAGCGGCTAAGCTGGCGTCCACGGAGCCCTCAAAGGGAAAGTGACAGGAACATCGTTCACCTGATGGGCCGAATAAGATTGTTGGCCCATTCCGGACTAACCATGATCGGAGTTATGGCCGAATGCATCATGCGAGGGGTGCAGCCGCTTCAGTATAGAAGCCACCCCATGTGGGATTTCAACAGGGAGGACGACGCCACCCGCTACGGCCGTAAAGGGCCAGATTCAGTTGCCGCTCTATTAAAGATCTTGTCCACTTTGTACAAGGGAGAAGAGGAGGAATTTCTCCGCGTCAACCCACAGGGTGGATTATCTATGCACAATCCCCCAAGCTGGGTAAGTGGTCGCATCTACTTGCTCACCCGTTTAGTGTTCCCATTGTTAAATACTTAGTCTAATGACCTCAACGCAGGAACTGCGCCGGGCTGTTAAGGAAATAAGCAGCCCTTTCCACAACCCGAGGACCCAGGACGGTCTCTCGACCCGACCTCTCAAGAGGATCCGGACATATCTGTGGAGCTGATTGATGGAGTGTTCCATCAATTGAGCGAGGACAACACCTTGGTGGCCATTACGGCCGATTACTCAGGGCTAATCCCGACGCCCCAGGTACCTGATATCGAAGTCCCAGTACCCCGGATAGGGGTCCGTCCATGCGTGTTCAATTTCCTGATCGCAACCGAACTTTGTAGGGGAGGTTGTTGAGGCGGAAGGCCGAACCTGCGACAACGAGCCAACGAGGGGCCGCAGGGCCCCGTGGGCAGAAAAGAGGTGCAGTCCGGACCGAGGCATCAGCGCAAAGGTATGGCG